AACCCAGGGCCTCAGGCATGCAAGGCAAGCGCTCTACCACTGAGCCACCTTCCCAGCCCCGTGACTCTTCTTCAGTCAAAACTTATAGCAGGGGCTGGGAAGGTGACTTAGTGGTAGAGTGATTGCCTAGCATGCCTAAAGCCCTGCATTTATTCTTCAATAGCATATAAACAAAAAAAAAGCCAGAAATGGCTCTGTGGCTCAAGTGGTACTGCACAAGCCTTGAATAAAAGAAGCTTAGGGACAGTGCCTAGGCCCTGAGTTCAACTCCCAGGGCTGGCAAAAACAAAGCAAACTTGCAAAACTTAGAGCAGGGGTGGCAGTGGCCCAGGCGTTCATCCCAGTACTCAGGAGGATCTCGAGTTTGAGGCCACCCTGGACTATTCATCGAGACCCTGTTTCAGAGAAACAAACCAAATGATCACCTCAGTTTAACTGACCTCTTGATTCTGGGGAAGACAACAATCTTGTGGCTTACTGGAAGTAAATGAGAGTAGCCTCCTTTGCTGTTACTCCCTGGATGGAGGCCGGGTAGAAAGCTTCGGGGTCTGCAGTTCCCATCTCCTTGTGATGAGGGTAGAGCTGTTAGCATGGTAGTGGGTGTTTGTGGGAGCATGGTCTGCTAGCCCCGTGGTGGAGCAGAGAACATGGGTTCAGAGTTACAGAACTCTGTCAGTACGTGGCCCTGTTGTGTAGTGCTATTTAGAATCTCTGAGTATCGTCCATCTCCACTGGGATCCTTCTCTCCCCTCTAGTCATGACCACTCAGGAAGGTTTGCTTTGTAGCCGTGGTTCCAAACCTGCAGTGTCATGATCTGTTGTGACTATGTGGGAAGTGGAGAGTCTGAGATCGTTCCAGTTTTGGGGAGCCAAACCCAGGGACTGCGCTTCTTCCAATAAGGGCTCCATTTAGTTCTAATGTCTTTAGGTTTTGTTTTTTTTTTTTGGTTGTGGGGCCTGAACTCTGGGCCTGGGTGCTGTCCCTCCGCTCTTCAGCTCAAGGCTAGTTCTCTACCACTTGAGCCATAGTGCCACTTCCACCTTTTTCTGCTTATGTGGTGCTGAGGAATCGAACCCAGAGCCTCATGCATGCAAGGCAAGTGCTCTACCACTGAGCCAACTTCCCAGCCCATGCACTTACGTTTGAAGAAGCAAAGGGCGAGGTAATATATACCTTTAGTTTTCTGGACCTTGGTCTATCACTGTGGCATAAAACAGCATAGACAATGTTGTAAACAAATGAGTGTGCTATATCCCATTAAAACTTTATTTAAAAACCAAGCAGCACAGGGCTGGGAAGTTGGCTTAGTGGTAGATTGCTTGCCTTGCATACATGAGGCCCTGGGTTTGATTCCTCAGCACCATATAAGCAGAAAAAAAGCCAGGAGTAGTGCTATGGCTCAAGTGGTAGGGCACTAGCCTTGAGCTGAAGAGCTGAGGGTCAGCGCCCAGGCTCAGACACTAGCTATGAGCTGAAGAGCTGAGGGACAGTGCCCAGGCCCAGAGTTCAGCCCCCACAACTGGCAAAAAGAAAAAAAAAAGAAAAGAAAAACAAGCAGCATCTGGGCACCAGTGGCTCACACCTGTAATCCTAGCTACTCAGGAGGCTGAGATCTGAGGATTGTGGTTCAAAGCCAGCCCAGGTAGGAAAGGCCAGGAGATTCTTTATCTTCAATAACCACTCAGAAAACCAGAAGTGGTACTCAAGTGGTAGAGTGCTCGCCTTGAGCTGAAGAGCTGAGGGATAGCGCCCAGGCCCAGAGTTCAAGCCCCACAACTGACAAAAAACCAACAAAAAAACAAGCAGTAAAGCTGGGAGTACTGACACTAGTTCCAGCTACTTAGAGACAGACCCAGAGGATTGCCCAAATGTTCAAGGCCAGTCTTGCAGCCATAGCAAGATCCTGTCTCAAAGACAAAAATAAAAAGTGTAGTGGCAGACAGATTTGGCCCCTTAGTGGCTAAATGCCTAGCTGTCACTGCCCATTTCTTTCTCAAAGAAACAAACTGAAGTACAGACGACTGAATTGTCATGAGTCATTAGCAAATGTTGCAGGCAAGACTATAGTGTGCTACCAGTGTGCTTTACCTCCTGACCTGGAGCTGGGGATCCATTCCGTACCAGGCTAGCAGAACTCTCACAGTCCTGCTTCCCGAGAGAGGACCATGCTAAGTGTTGGGAATCAACCCAGGGTCTGGGTAACGCTTGTCCCTGGCTTTACCACTGAGCTGTGCCCTCAGGCCCTTACAGTTGAAAGTTATTGCTTTACTTTTTCCAGTATTTTATTTTCCCCCTTGTGGTTCTCATGATAGAACCTGGGGCCTTCTGCATGCTGGACAACTGCTCTACCTCTGAGCCCTGCCCCAGCCCTCAGATAACTTTTATAGGAAACTAGAAGTGATAGGGATTTATAAAGTTATTTTTTGTTGTTGTTTGTTTGTTTTTTGTTTTTGTTTTGGTGAGTTTTGAGGCTTGAACTCAGGGCTTGGGTGCTATCCCTGAGCTTTTCCGCTCAAGACTAGCATTCTACCACATTGAGCCACAATGCCACATCTGGTTTTTGGTGGTTAACTGGAGATAAGAATCTCAGGGACTTTACTGCCTAGGCTGGCTTTGAACTGTGATCCTCAGATCTCAGCCTCCTGGGTAGATAGGCTTACAGGCATGAACCACTGGTGCCCATTCAGATTTATAGTTTGAAAAACAGGTTGGAGTGGCTGGCATGGTTACCGGGGACAGGCTGGCAGTAGTGAGGGCTAGTTTTATTCTCACTCAAGAAAGCACGTGATACTGAGGAAAGTGCCCTTTGACTTAGGAAGATCATATGCCAGTGTTCAGGTAGGGCTTTTCTGTCCTAATACTTGTGTGTGGGTGCTGTGGGGTCACGTGTCATTCAGCATCCTCTGTGTTACCTAGGCCACCAGTAAGGGTGTGTGTGTCTTTCTACTCGCCACGTACACGGATGGCCAGCCCACCGAGAGCGCACAGTGGTTCTGCAAATGGCTCCAGGAAGCAGCCCATGATTTTCGATATGGCAAAACTTACCTGGAGGGGATGAGATATGCTGTGTTTGGCTTGGGAAACTCTGCCTATCTGAGCCACTTCAACAAGGTATGCAAAATTACAGGTGAATTCTCCTTTAATAAACAAGCCTGGAGCACCAAAGCTCAGGGACAGCATCCAGGCCCTGAGTCCAAGCCTCAGGACTGGCACAGGAAAAAAACAACCAAGCAAAACCCCAAAAACGATCTCACTTCCATATATGTATGTGAGATAATTTATAAACTTTGCTATTTAATAAGCTTCTTGTGTTACTCCTTTTCTTTTCTTTGCTGAGGATGGAACCAGGGCCTTGAGTGGGCCAGGTACCTGCTCGACTCTGAGCGCCCTCCCAGCCCTTCATTTATTCTTCAGGGCCTTGTGTGGGCCAGGTACTTGCTTGCCTCTGAACACTCTCCCAGCCCTTCAGATTTTCTTTCTGAATGCTGATTGTGGTCATGCTTTCATGTTGGATGCCCAGTGGATGCGCATACGCCTTTGTTCCTGGTGCCTCTGTTTATTGTGTTGTACTATCTGCTGTCCTAGTGGTGGACTTGCAACAGTCAAGTCCCGCCTCCTGTCTCCTGGGAGGACTCTGTAGATAGAAGGTCATTGGGCATTTGGTTTTTCTCAAATGGCTCTGGTTTTGAATACCTTTCACTGCCCAAGGAAACTCCTAAATTGGTAAACTAGTTTCTTGAAATCACTTAATTAAAGAGAAATAGAGGATAATAGTGCATATGACCAGGTAGCTAATATTCCAGCTGTGGAGACAACTTTTATATAATAAAACATTTATTATGTAATAAAAGGTTAATTTCTTTTTGGATGGTCCTAGAATTTGAATTCAGGGTCTTGCTGGGATGACAATCACTTTTTGCTACTCTTAGTAATGATTGAGATGGAGTCTCACAGATTTTTTTGTTTAGCCTGGGCTGGTCTCCAGCTGCAGTCCTTTAATCTCTGCCTCTCAAGTAGCTAGGATTACAGTTCTATTTCACTGTGCCCAGTAACATAAATAAGATTTTTCTTTGCTTTCTTGAATCCTTTGGTTCTTTTTTTTTTTTTTTTTTTATCCCTTTTTTTTTGTCAGTTGTGGGGCTTGAACTCTGGGCCTGGGCGCTGTCCCTGAGCTTTTCAGCTCAAGGCAAGCCCTCTACCACTTGAGCCACAGCACCACTTCGAGTTTTTTAGTGGTTTATTGGACTCATGGACTTTCCTGCCTGGGCTGGCTTTGAACCGTGATCCTCAGATCTCAGCCTCCTGAGTAGCTAGGATTACAGGCATGGGCCACTGGCGCCCGGCTTTTTGTATCCTTTCCCTTATTTTATAAAATAAAATTAGCTGGGCAAAGGACACATGCCTACAATCCCATTACTCAGCTGTAAGTTCTAGGCCTGGCTGGGCTGCATAGCAAGACCCTGTAAAGGAAGAATTTCTAACATGCAGCCCTGTGAAGGCCAGGCTCTACTCCCTTTTGGTGAAGTCCTTCCCTCTCTCTCAGCACTTGCCCTGAGTCAGGTTCCTATAGCAATGGGCTCCTGTAGCCCTTTTGTTTTAGGTGTCCTTGTCCCGGGTCTTGAACTGAGGGCCTGGACAATCTCTGAGTTTTATTTACTCAAGTCTAGTTCTCTACCACTTGAACCAAAGTGCTGCTTCTGGCTTTTCAGTGATTAATTGGAGATAAGAGGTTCACCATCTTTCCTGCCTGGGCTGGCTTTGAACTTTGATCCTCAGGTCTCAGCCTACTGAATAGCTAGAGTTGCAGATGTGAGCCACAGGTACCCAGCCTCTTCAGCCCTTTTTGCTTTTGGTTATGTTTCAGATAGAATCTGTGTCTTGCCCAGGGCTGGCCTCAGACCATGATCTTTCTACCTCCCCTTCTTTTTTAACTGAGGTGACAATTGTACGCCACCACGCGTAGCTCAGTTGAGGTGGAGTCTTACTTTTTGCCATGTCTGGCTTCAAACTATGCTCCTAGCCATCTCTAGGTCCTGAGTAGCTGGGCTGAGCTCTCTCACTGTCTTGCAGGTTGGCAGAAGTGTTGACAAGTGGCTCTGGATGCTGGGTGCGCAGCGTGTGCTGGCTCGGGGAGAGGGCGACTGTGATGTGGTGAAGAGCAAACACGGTAGCATCGAAGCTGACTTCAGAGCTTGGAAGGCCAAGTTCACCTCCCGGCTGCAGGCTCTTCGTAAAGGAGAGAAAAAGCCCTGCAGTGGGAACTGCAAGAGAGGCAAGTGCAAGTCCAAGCAGCAAGGCCCCGAGCAAACGGAGCTGGAGTCTCACCTTCATGAGGGACTGCATCACAGAGACACTGAGGTTTGTCCCCCGTGTGTTCAGTTCTCACAGGTGCCTTCAGGATTTAAAGAGATATGACTTTACTGCGTTACTGAGAAACTTACCCTTCTGTCCTTCTTTCCCTCTTCCTTCCTCAAGCTGAGGGCTGTAAGTCATCTCAATTATCTTTTCCCTCCCTCCATCCTGAACATGTCTCTGCATTGTAGTTGGGGCACTGCTGCCACACTGATCTCCATGCTAACCAAAGAGGGTTTGAACACCTTGCCTTCCATGTTCCCTTTGTTCTTTGGCTCAGGCCAGCATCCTGTCATTCCCAGAGCATTGCAGTGAGTTGTGTGCTCTTACTCCTGTTAGAATGTCTTCTCTGTTGCCAGTAGAACCAGTCTCTGAGGTAGTGAGCTGTACATTGGCCCTTGGTACCCATAAGCTTGTGGTTATGGGAGCTGCACCGAAACACTGCCTTTCATCAAATTTCTGCTGGAACTGTTCTGTCAAGTATGTTGCTGTTTCCTGCCTTTGGCTCAGGGAGACCCCAGCAGACCCCCAGTGATATAAACACAACCGATAATAATGTAAGCTTTTACAGCCAAATGAGTGGCAGAATGTGCACCTGGGAACTTAATCTTGTTTTGAAATTTCTTCTTTAAGATTAATTTTTATTATATTTGGCAGTATTTGGTCAAAATTGTGTGTCCTAAGTCCACATATAAGGCAGGTTTATTGCAGTGTTCTCCGCGCCCCCCCCCCCTTTTTGGGGGCGGGTCGGTTGTGGGCTTGAACTCTGGGTCTGGGCGCTGTCCCTCAGCTCTTCAGCTCAAGGCAAGCACTCTATCTCTTGAGCTACAGTGCTGCTTCTGGTTTTCTGGTGGTTTATTAGAGATAAGAGTCTCAGGGCCTTTACTGCCTGGGCTGGTTTTGAACCATGATCCTGAGAGCTCAGCCTCCTGAATAACTAGGATTATAGGTATGAGCCACCAGCACCTGGCTCTACTTACTTCTGAGTTACTGATAGCTGCTGCTTGCAGTCTGCCTCTTGCCTAAGCAACTGCCTGTGTCCTCTTCTAGCAGCTTTCCATCTTGAATTCTTTTTTTTTTCTTTTGTTGGTAATGGTGCCTGAACTCTGGGCCTGAGCACTGTCCCTCAGCTCTTCAGCTCAAGGCTAGCACTCTATCACTTGAGCCACAGCACTACTTCCAGCTTTTTCTGCTTATGTGGTGCTGAGCAATTGAACCTAGGGCCTCATGCATGCAAGGCAAGCACTCCACCACTGAGCCACCTTCCCACTCCCCCATCTTGAATTCTTGTTTGTAAATTTCCTCTGCACTTCTGTACCTGCTATTAGCACATTAGAGCCTACCTGGCCTGCAGGGTTAGTTTTGTTTGTTCTGAGCACATGGCTCTGTGGCCTTCCTGCTGCCCAGGATGTGATCATGCTGGTGGCTCCTTGTGTGCTCCTACTTCCTGGTATGTGTAGCCATGAGTCCTGAGGAGAGGGGAATGTGTTCCGTTCCTTCTAGTCCTGATGGATCCCATGACTTGTATTGCCTGATGATTGCAGGGAGTTTTCAACCTTCCTGGGGTCATTGAGCCATGGTAGAAGCAGTGCTGTTTAGATTTATGTGAAGGCCACAAATGCTCCATGTGGGACTGTGTGCCCCAAACTGAAGGCCTGAGGAATGACTGCAGAGGAGGGTCCAAGGTCAGCTCAGAAACTGACTCACTGCCAAATCCAGACAGCTGTCTAATTTAAAGTTTACTTATTTATTTATTCTTTTTTATTTTTTACTACCTTTAAGTAGTTGTACACAGGAGGTGCCATTAAACAAAGCAGATTATGACTATAAGGCATTTTGATCAGTGTCACCCCTTCAACATTCTCACCCCCCCCTTTGACATACCCTTTCCTTTACTCAATTTTGTGGTATACAGTGAATTCTTGACTGCATTCTTCTCCCTTTCCCCACTTCATTGTCTACCCCTGTCCCCTTGCTCCTCCCCCGCTTTATGTATTTCTTTATTGGGGCCAGCACTGGGGCTTGAACTCAGGAATTTGAATTCTCATTTGGCTTTTTCACTCAAGGATGGCACTCTATCACTTGAGCCGGAGCTCCACTTCGAGTTCTTTGCTTGTTAATTGAAGCTAAGAATCTCTTGGCTTTTTCTAGGCAGGTTGTCTTTGAACTGTGACCCTCAGATCTGGGCCTCTTGAGTATCTAGGATTACAGTTGTGAGCCACTGGTGCCTGTGGCCTTATTTGTTTTTTATATGATCTTTAAGTAGTTGTCCAAAGGTGTCACATCGTCTTCCATCATTCTCCCCCCATCTGCCTATTTTAAATAAATGTTTAGGGAACACAACCCTGCTTGTTTATTTCTGTAAGGGTATAGCTAGCTGCTTTTGTGTTCAGAATGGCTGCACTGTGGAGCAGAGGCAAGTCAAGAGATTCTCACCTTTCTGTAAGGGCCAAGTGCTAGTATAGTCAGGCAGGAGCTTGGGCAGTGTCACACCTGGTGTCTTGTCTAGGTCTAGGATGCTTGTTAACAGGAAAGGAGGGTGTAAGGGCATAGGGCACGTGGGCAGTACTGGTTTTATCACTGTTTTTTATATGTTGGGAAAGCCTAATAGACCTGTGTGTTTAAACACTGTGGTTGGGAACCATTGAACTAGAAGAACTGACATCTTGATTGATTGTTGGCTGTTTCAGGTGACCTGGGGTTTGACATGATGGGATGAGTTGCAGGAGGACATTATCTGTTGGGGTAGGACTGAGTTGAAGAACTCCTGTCTCTGGAGATGTTTTCAGCTGTGGGCTGCCTACAACAGGAGAGGTTCTGAGATGTGGGCTTGTGAGTGATGGCATCCTAGTGTAGATATCACACACTTTGAGTGTGTATTTGCACACACTGAGATGGCCGCAGCATCACTTGGTGACCCCGCCTCAGGTAGAGACGCTGTGTGGTTGTGTGTGTGGTCTATGGTTGTCTGAAGGGTCATGAGAGAACCTTGTACCTGTGACCTGATGAAGGAAAGACCAGAGTCAGTCCAGCTTCTGTAGGTCAGGCTTGGGCTAGGTATGCAGTCCTCTGGGAAAGGATGGGGGCCGGCCCAGTCCAGCACAGCAGAGCAGAGCAGGAAGGTGGGCAATCTCTGGTTTCTCTTCTGTAAGTTGTCCTGGGTTACTGAGCATGGATCTGATGTTTTAACTCCTCTTCACTCCTTAACTCCTTTCTTTTGCTGTAGAGTCTCTGGAGGAAGGATGAGGGTTGGGTGTCCTTGCCACTCACTTTTTTTTAACTCCTTCCCTCATCTCCTGGTGCTGAGCGTAGTGACATCCTAAGTGGGAGGCTAAGGAAGAGATTGTGGAGAATTGGGCACTGGGCCGCTTGGCCAGTATGTAATACATTTTTCACTTGAAATCTAGTGATGCAGTCAGTCCTGCATTTCTAGGGGTGGAGTTGTGTCTTGCACTTGCCAGGCACATGCTCCCTCACTGAGCCCTACTTGCCCTACTGTCTCATCTCCTTTGCCATTTCTGTGTGGAAGTCAGTGGCGTTAGCTGTTGTCACTTTGTGCGGTCTTCTTAACAGTCTGGTTCAGGACCTAAGGTGGTGTGCTTTTTAAAGTAGGAATTTAATCATGGTGAACGCTCCGTGTGGGAGGTGCTTTCTTACTGTGAAGCATTTACCTTCCAGGAGGAGGAGCCCTGCGAGAGCAGCAGTGAGGAGGAGGATGGCAGCAATGGCCACCAGAGCCTGAATTCTGTGGTTGATGTTGAAGATCTTGGCAAAATTATGGATCACATGAAGAAGGAAAAGGTACCCGCATTTTGGGGAATATTGAAATTGGCTCCTGCTGTTGGATAACCTTTAGTTTGTGTTGCACTGTCATTCTTCAGCACTCACAATTAGGTAGAGGTGAAGCTTCTATTTTCCTCAGGACACTTATGTAACCCCTCATGTCTGAGGAATGACCTTGAACATTCGCCTGCCTCATAGAACTGTCTGCAAATACTTCCTAACCTCAGGGAGCTGATAAGGAGAGCTCACAGAGTTGTTTGCATAGTCTGTTGGCAGGTTTTCTGCTGTTAAAACTAGCCCTGGTCCAAGACCTTTTTTACTTTGTAAAAACAATGTTTTCTTAGGTTATACTTTTACTGAATTGATAAACCTGGGCCAAAGGGAATATGGTTCTATGGTTCTTAATTGACAGTGTGAATAATTTTCACTGGTAAAACTGTCAATGTGGTGCACAAAGTAGCTAAGTTAGATACATTTCTGAGACTTCCAGCAGGAAGCTCTATTTGAGTTTTTACTGGCAGGCAGGAAATTTGGGGTGGTTTGTGAGGTTTTCCTTTGTTTTTTCATCTCATGGCCAATAGAGGGCACTGGAGAAAACACTAACGAAAAATTTGAACATTGATGCAAATTATATTTTGAAATGAAATGATTCTGGACTTTATGGAGTTTGAGAATTTAAAACAACCACTTTATTATATTTCAGTGTTCTTATAACAGTCTCTCATGAAAATCACCAAATCAGAAAGAAAAGGGAAAAGTTAGGTATTTTTCCAACTTTAGTAATGTGAAAATAAGCAGCTGTGAGCTCTCCTCATCAGCTCCCTGAGGTTAGGAAGTATCTGCAGACAGTTCCACGAGGCGGGTAGTAGTATTAGGATGACAGGCGCGAGCCACCGGCGCCCAGTTTATCCGTTCACTTTTACAGGCCCATCCGTCTCAGCTGTATGTCTGTCTGTGGGAGTCACTTTACCCCTCTATGCTTTAGTTCTCTCGTTTGTCAGGCGGGAGATCGGGCTCTCTGCTCTATAAAGTTGTTATGAACTTAAAAAAGCCATCCGTATGGTATTTTCGTGGTACGTGCTGCTGCCATCCGTGTGGCGCGTGCGGGGCGGGTTTCTCTGCCTCCTCCCCAGGCCGCGCGCCGTCCTGAAAGCGCAGTGTGTGTGTGGAATGGGGCGTCCCGCACCGGCCCGCAGGGCGGCATGGGAAGTGTGCGCACACGCGAGATGATCTCAGCCCGGGCGTCGGGGTGCACGGGGTGCGGTGGGCGCCTGGCAGGGTCTTCGGTCGGGTAGGGGGCTAGAGACTGGGGTTCCAGCCGAGACCCGTGCAGGCCTCACGCAGGGCTCCCCGAGGGGCTGCGGAGCTGGAGAGCCTTGCCGACCGCCGGGCAGTCGCGGGTCCCTTGTGGGTGTGTTTCCCGTCTGCATTACCAAACCGGGCTGACTGCGCCCTGCCGCCTGCTTGGCACACACACCCCGCGGCGCCACTTTCCGTTGCAGAAGCCCCGCGTGCTCGCGCACTTCCGATTTAAGCTGCAGTGGAATCGTAAGATTAGGAGGTTCTGCCGCATCCTGATGGAGCGCCGCAAGGCAGAAGGCCTCCACGCCGCCCTCCCACCTCTGCTCGCTGCTACGCGGGTACTCGGGGCGGGCAGACTGCCCACGCCCCTTCCTGCAGTTAGCGAGTTGAGGCTGCCCCGCCTGGTTACCCAGATTTTTTGTACAATTTGCTTACGTTGCAAAAAGCACCAAGTCATGGTGGAAATATGCCGAGTGAGTGTATCACAGTTGGCTTGTTCTCCAACAAAAGGAAATGGACTCTGTGGATATGATTAAATTACAGAGGGGTTTTAGGTAAGTAGAATCTTAGCCAGCATTGTATATGAAGAAATGGTTTTATTTTTTTTAAGTGAGGAAATTGAAATCGATAGAAAATAGTAATTTCCTAGATAGCTGTCTGTGCTTAGATTGTTAAAGATGTTTGAGCTCCAGACAAGTGAATTGTTGATTTAAGTTTGTGTGTTTCTGTATGCAGTTCTTTGCTTTTTGTTCATTTTTCTTGGTGCCAGTTCTGGGTTTGAACTCAGGTCATGGGTGCTGTCCCTGAGCTTTTTTGCTCCAGGCTAGCACTGTATCACTTGAGCCACAGCTCCACTTCTGGCTTTTTAGTAGTTAATTGGAGATGAGTGTCACAAACTTTCCTTCCCAGGCTGGCTTTAAAGTATAATCCTCAGATCTCAGCCTCCTGAGTAGCTACTAGGTTACAGGTGTGATCCACCAGTGCCTGCTTTTAGTTTTTAAGTAACACTCGTGGTATGCCTTAGATCACAGTATCAATGGAAAGTAACCTTTCTGGGGTCAGAGTTTGTGCCCTGGCTTGCAATAACTCTTCTTATTAGTGTTAGGAGTTCTTAGTTCCTATACTGTTACTTTCCTTGTCCATCTCCAATTCTGCATTTACTTTGTATCTTATGCAGAGAGAAAAGGACCAGCAGGAAGAGAAGATGAGTCTGTTGAGAACAGGGAAGAGTGAAGATGGAGATGGAAGAGCCATGATAACACCTGCTCTCCGAGATGCCCTTACAAAACAAGGTGAAATACTGTGTTATGCACTCAGCACACAGCAGGGTTGCTGAGGGGCCAGAGGGGAATTTCTCTGGTTAGCATGGCAGCTGCCTAGCAATGGCATGTGTAGCTGTCCAGGATCCTGTGTTATTTCTCTGCATTTCTTACGTCCTGGCCACCTGGACCACCTGGCCTCAATGCATGGTCTACTGGGATGCCACTGTCCTGGAGGCGAGGGTTGCAGATGGAGGAGCTAACTATCACTGGCTTTTTTACCAGTCAGTGTAGGAATGCGTATGCGATGCAAGACTGACTAAGCTAATTAGAATTGTTTTGTGTGCAATGCCATGTCTGGATTTTTGGGGTCAGATCTTCTTATGGAGCCTGTAGTTCAATGAGTTCACAGTAATATTGTGTAGTAAATTAGGAATGAGATGATTACTGGCCTACTTCTTCCTGTTCCTCCATGCATGTTTTGTGAAGAGCCTTGTTTGGCAGTTTTCATAGTGCACAAGAGCATGAACTGTCAACCCTTATTGTCTATACGGATTAATATTTATGTATTATTTGTCTTTTTGTTTTGGGTAGCCCGGGAACTGAACTCAGAGCTTTATACTTGCTAGGTCAGTGTCCTACTTAAGCTATACCTGGTTCTTTTGCTTTTAGTATGTTTTCCAGGAAGGGTCTTGTCCTTTTGCTCATGCTGGCCTCAGACTGACTGATCTTTCTGCCTTATCTCCTGGGTAACTGGGATTACAGGCCTGCACCACCATGTATAGCTTGTGCTACCATGCCTGGCTTGTTTTAGTATTTTAGATAGGGTCTTGCTAACTTT